AAGGCGTAATCATGAACACAATTTTGGTCTTCATCAGCGATCTGTTGGATTATCTGATGAACTTTCTATCAATGCTATCAAATTCTGACAAATCAAGTATCCCTACTAGTAAACCTAAATAAGTTATTTGTATAAAGGGAGAGTAAAATCATTAAGTTAATGAATATATCTTCATCATTACAGAAATAAACTAAATATGAAATGAAGAACAAGCTAATATAACAATAAAACATGTTAAAATCGTTAACTTCTATAGGAAATTATTCTTTCACTTTAGTGGAAAGTATAATTACACGTATCTTTTACTCATTTATCCCAAAACGTTTATTTGTTACCTTTGATTTGAGAATTTGTTATAGAGAGTAGGTATTTTGATGCACTCTAATGAAGATACACACATTAGGTTTGATAAGACAAATAAATATAATACTTATAATAAATGATATGTAGTGATGCAGTGTGGTCAAGTGATAATCGATAACAAAAATTGAATTACTGACATAAAGCATCCAAAAAAGAATAATATGAACTATACAACTATGATAAGAAGCTTACTGAAAGAAAATTAAATTGGTAATTGCATCATTTGTTCACTGATCAAATCAATTTGAATGTTACTCTATTTTTTAATTGATTCTTATACCTCAGAAGATCGGTGAAAAATTAAGGTGAAGTCTTTTAAAATATGGGCTCCATTATCCTGAGGGAACAATGACATATGATCGAATTGTTGGTCACCGGCTACCATGGGACTGCATCTCTTGACGTTATTCCACTGCCTTGTGGATTAGGCCATTAAGTCGAAAGCTCCGGATGTAGCCCCTTAAGAAAACCACCTACTTCGATTTGGTACTCAGGTAGTATCATAGCCCACACACAAAACAAATGACATGTGTGGCGCACATGTATTCGGTGACCCTTTGTGCCAATATTTATGCGTTCAAATAAATAAATAATCTATCTCTAGTTATATGAAAAAGTGTTATCATTAGTATTCTTTTTTAAATATTACAGATTATTTGTTTATAAAGGAATGAATAAACTAGTTGTTGTTTCAAATCTCTTTGGTTAAATTATACGTCTAGAAGATCTATTTTGTTCCTAAAGATAAGGCAGGTGTTTTTTTAACTTAATAAACTTTCTTTCGAATATACTTTTCGGAAACGCTATCTTCACTCGTTGACGACTTGATAAGTTAGTAGATAACCAGCTAGCAAGTAGCTGATATCATTGTTGAGAAATCTTCATTCTAGAAAATAAGTGAAATGAAGACAAATGAGATCATAAATGATTAGTCAGTTATTTAGAAAATGTAATCATATCACCTTGAACATTTCTATATGATAAGAAGAATAGATATAGCTCAACGAATTCGGTGTCTTTTAAAAGCTTCGGAATTTGTGCAATACATTTTGTTGAACTTTTCTGGAAAGTTTCCAGTAACTCATCTGAAGTGGTAAACTCCTTTAATTTAATTCCTTTTCTTAAAGTAAGTGTATGTTCTTTTTTTGATCCCAGTAAACTTCGTTTATCTACTTTGAACAAATCATACAATATAATCATTTATTACTTAATTACGTCCTTTATTTCCGGTCTGAAACCTATTTGGTATGATTATCTATATACATATTTTATTCACAAGTTTTAACTCACTTCGCTCCTACAAATTTAATTTATTAAACGCGCACACAAACAAATGAATGTACTATAAGTATGACTACCCCATCAGCTGTGATGGAATCATTCTTAAGATAACTCCTTAGGTTGAAGTCTTTGTTATGGTGACTTTGTGAAAGAGAAGGAAGTTAGCTGAAAGAAGTATGAGAGTCGAATTAAGTTGTCAATCATCATCAAGTATTCGCCAAACTTTACAATGTGAAGGGATCAGTAAAGAATACTTCAGAAAATAAAAATTTATTGGTGTTAGATTGTAAAACATAACATCAGGAAGAGTGTTTACTTATTGTGAGAAGTAAATAAGTATTTTGAGAATACATTTATATAGCCTTCAACTTTCCATTTGCATCTTTCGGTGTGTTCTTCAGTCTGAACTGTCTTCTCGTCCAGTCTCCATGTGTTTTGTTAACACCTTGTTTTCGATGTACTGAAACTCTTCATTCTGTTTGACAACTGTTGCAACTTCAACGTCACCTTCTGCTACATACCACTTACAAACAATTCACTAAAATAATTTCATTTCTGAGAAAGCGTGACTTAAAACCATAAAACAGTGGTTCAGTACTCAAAGTTTTGGGGGTATTTGAGAAAAAGTCAGTTAAGTTGAAAATATAGACCGTCCTATTGAGACTTAGTGATCTGTAACTATTCTACTTATAACAAGAAAAAACAGTTCTAGGTTTAATGTCGCTAAGAATTTTTGGAGCCTTTAAATGCTGAACCTCAGACTTCAGTTCAGCAAGCCTTCAATATTTGCATACGTTCAACTAATATGTATCTGGAAACCTATTTTGATAAAAAAACAACTTATACAAAATCGTAAGCAGTGATAGATGGATGGTAGCTAACAAAGGAACAACAGATACAAATGAATTATACAAAACTGTCACTAAAATCAGTTAACTTCAGTAGCAGATTTTACCAACCATGGTTAAATGTAAAAGAAATAATAACCTACAGTATCCAATACTCTAGTCTATAATGTCTGTTTATTTGATAATCTACCTGTCATAAATGAAAATATTCGGTATTAGGAAACTTATACATTCACTAAATAATGTACAAATTAGCTAAGAATAATGCATTCCAATCATTCTTTATAGTATGAACAGTCTTTAAGCATATGTGTTGCTTATTATGATGAACATAAGAAATGCTGATTATCTTGTTTTTAAACCCTGTAATGTATAACATTAATAGTTTTCACATTCATATGTGTATTAAGAACAAACGTTTGTAAATTCATTTGATATTGTTTGCTTGTAACTTTCTATTGTTGTTTAGGACTGTAATTGATCAGTCTCTTGTTGGCAAATGTGCATCCTATGCCGATTGTCTAGATACTGCCTTAATTCACAAGCTTTATAAAAAAAGATGAATGGTGACTAAGAGTGAAATCCAGGATGCGCGTTTCATCCCAGTTAAAACTCGTCAGCTAGATGTGACTGATTTTGTATAAAATTTTGATGATTGAATGTTTTGAATTGAACAAATAATCATGAGAATCTTGAATAATGTCAACAGTTTTATTTCAAACCAACATTGTGATAAGAAAAATAAATATGAAAATGTCTTGTAAAGAAACCTTACTGTTAAAGGTTAAAAAAGAGTTTACTGAATCTATAAAACAATCATTCATGTTTTTGTGAAATTCTTAATGTAAACTTAAACTTACATTGAACAATGATCAAAAGTCTTTTTAAAATAGAATAAAAATAACAGTAAATTAGGATTGATTGTTGTTGGGGGAAACTGAGATCTATACAATGAGGGGAAGATTTTATCCAGCTTCCATAATAAAACACGATAACATATTTACTAGGTACACTCATTTATTAAGAGATTTTATTGGTATTTAATGATTAGTCAGTGAATATCAAACATAACTGAAATATCATGCAATTAGTTCTCTTTATGAATTATTAATAAGGCCAGAACAAATATGGATATAGAATAATATGAATTCATTATATTTCGTGGTTTCTCATCAGCTGCTCACAACCAAATATGTATTAGAATTTTACATAGAGATAAGAAATAGTATGGAACGATTGACATAAGTGAATGTAAAAGATTGGAATGACAAAGGTTTACAATAATAACTATATATATATATGTAAGAACAGGTCAGAGGTTAATTGGTGTTAGAATCAAGGTGGTGGAGTTCAGAGGCAGATAAGATAAATTGTGTGATAATTTTCTTAGTAGCTCCAACTACATTTACCGATTTACATGTATGTGCCAAAGCATATACGTTGGAAGAACCGAAAGAAGAGTTTATGTTTGTATTTCTGAGCATGTTCCAAAGAAATTGAGGCTGCGAGGGACTAGGGCTCCCAACAGTGCAATAGCTCGGCATTTACTTGACAGCGGGAGTACCATTGACATCTCTCATGTTTTTGAAATTATTAGCAGGCAAAGAAGTACGGCTGCTCTTCGTTTTGCTGAAGTGATCGCGATAAAAAAACTTAAACCGGATCTATGTATTTAAAAAGACAGTAATAAACTTATTACTACTCTGGTAATCCGATTTTTTGTGTGTTTATTGTTTTTTGTTTGTGGTTATTAGTTTAGTTTTGTTAATATTTAGTTTGTGTTATATTCCACTCCCACAACCACCCTTTCACTCATACATTTTCACTCACTTGATTCTCTTAAATTATGTGAACTCTTCAAATTCTATTCAATTATTACGTAACCCATCTTATCAGTTTTTAATTCCGTGAATCCTTTATTACCTCACAATTTATTTTATCTGTCTCTGAACTCCACCACCTTGATTCGAACACCCAATAACCTCTGACATATTCTTGCACATGTATCCTTTTCATTCACTTATGTCAATTGTTCTATACTATTTCTTATCTCTATGTAAAATTCTAATACATATTTGGTTGTAAGCAGCTGATGAGAAACCACGAAATATATGGAATTCGTATTATCCTGCATCCATATTTATTCTAGCTTTATTTATAATTGAAATAATGAGAATAACTCAGTAAATTCTTCACTGCGATAATATAAAATGAATACAGATTGAATATCATGGATATTATCCTGAATAAATACCTCAGGGGATTCAAACATATTCTCCCTTTTTCATCTTGTCCTTACACAGTAATATAACTATAATGATATCTATCTATTTCAGTTTCTACCACAATATCTTACTATGAAATTTTGACACTAGGAATTACTATTAAAAATCATCTAGATCTAGTCATTATATCATCAAAGTAGAAAAAAACGATTCATTTCTTTATATTATAATTTCACTTATTTCTCTTATTTATGTTCTTTTTTTTCATTTAAACATTTGATAGTTCAACAAGATCTACTTCTGAAGCATTCCTGGCATCAAATTATTTTGAACCAGAATTCAATAGTATACAATTACATCGACAATATCCACAAAATGTATTATTAGATGATAAAAACCGATCAATTTGGTATTTAAGTAAAGATGAAGATTCATTACCTACTAATACATTATATGAATCATCTAATTCACGTTATCATCAACAAGAAAATTTAAAACAAACAAAAGAAAATCAACAGATGAATAAAAATAAAATAACAAAATCACAGTTACTAACTGATCAACATTCAAAATCTGATAGTCGTTTAGATTTAATTCGATCGATTGATTTAAGTAATGATAGTTCTGATATTGATAAAAGGAATAGTTTAAGTGTAACTGAATCGATAGTAAAACCAAATGAATTATCATCTCAAATGTATAAACCTCAAAAAATTCACAATTATCAATCATCTATTGTGTAAGTGATGTATTTAATACTTATCTTATTAGTTCGATTATGTAATTATATATGAATGAGATAGACAAAAAAATTGATGTTGTACCAAGTATTTGTAGTGAACTTGATAATGATTTAAGATATATAAACTTTTTTCTTTATAATATTTAGACTGTGAAGCTGGGTGACACGGGATCAAATACGCCAGGGAACACCAGTTTCCTCGAGATTACAGATACACCTTGCTGACGAGTGTCAAGTAGCACGAAACCCAGGTCCAGGGTTTCCTGTCGACTACTTCCAACCACCATCTAATCTCATTGTATAGTGTATGCAGTGTCAAGTCACCTAGACTGGTGGCCACATTGCAACATGGTCGATAGCATTCGATCTGCACTAAATAAGGACTCGACACACATGACATTGGTCACCACCCAGTGATCAATCAATCGAGAGTTCTTAACCAACTATTCAATGTATCTTCTCCTGCCTTACACACATTATAATAGTTACTAAGTTTATGAAATACTTGCGAAATGAGCATTTCTTTGAAATTTTGTCTATCTGTTAAGATAAATAGTATAAAACATAATACAGTCCAATAGATTATTCTCTAATAAATCTTGAAAAGACTATGAAGGTAATATTCTTTAGTTCATTTCTATTATCCATTGATAAACAGTAGATGTCAATGGCCCGAACTGATTTTGATTTCATATGTAATATTTATATTATAAACAATAAAACAATATAATCGTAATATCCAAATAAGTAGAATAATTAAATTTTCTGACATTTCGTGACTTAGTGTAATCCATTTCTTTAGAGAATAAATAACCAAATCAATTGATACAAATAGATCAGTTCTATAATAGGATAATTACGATTTGAATAGCTCATTGGTAATATCTCTGATTTTTGCACACTAATTGAATCATAAAAATCATAAATTCCCTTAAGACGGAACATATAATCATTTGAGATACTTATTGAAGAGCTCTGTCTTTAGATTTTGCTCCTGAAATACATCTTTAAAACCATAGAAATTCGTATTACATCAAAGATTCTGTTATAACTTATGGCTTTGTGCCCAAACAATATATATATATATATATATATATATATATATATATATATATAACGTAATGATACCACCAATTAGAGAACAGTGAATAATCGACTTCATCAATGAAGCATGAAACTTGTACGGGCAATCTAGAGTCTTTATCTGTCCTGCTTCCTGCCTAGCTCTACCTATTGAGTCCACAACACCAATCTCAGCCTCTGAGATATGAATCATGTATTTCGGATATACTGGGTTTATATACAAACTAAATAGATCACGTCACACCATGAAATAGAGAATAACATTTGTACAAGATTTAGCTAAATGTGGCTGTAAATATGGGAGGTAGTAATTAATAGACTGGGCATAACTCAAGAACAGTAAATCGCATAATAATAGTTTATAGGTCAAAGTAAAGCTTTTAATAAGGGGAATATAGATATACATAATCTAGCTACCAAATAATTATACATTAAGAATATACGTATAATATTTGTCCATAAATAGTTCCCAAAAGTTACCATTCATAATTCTTGCCGGGATATAACAAATTTATATACTCCTCATTCACAACCCTCTAAGAAAATTAATCACTGTTCTACACAATTTGCAAAATGTACTGTATGAGACAAAATAAAGTTCTGAATGCCAAATTATCTTATAAGTAATATAGTTCTATTTAATCATTTAATATAATCAAGCAACTGAGTGACATAACTTCAGTTATTTGTAAGTGATTACTCTTATTGGTTATGTGTACAGGAAGCAAACTCTTATTCATACGTATCATTATTATATGTAACTTAATTTCAATATGTATCTATTTTTCTTTTAGAAATCCAATTGAACATAAATCTATTTCACGTATTAAATCAAACACATTAGGATCACCTATGAATATTAAAACAATCAATTCACATTTATATGATAATATACAAAGATCGCATAATAAAAAGACTAAATCTAAAAAAGTATCTACATCTAAACATAATAAACATGAACAACAATTTACTGAATTAAATACTTGGTGTACATGGATTCGTTTAAAAAAGACATCAACAACGGATTCTTATGGAATAGGTGTATCTGAAGGTTTATCTACTATGGGTATATTTGTTAGTGCAATTCGTCCTAATTCACCAGCTGATTTATCTGGTAAACTATATCTATATGATCGTATTTTAATGGTAAGTTACAATGAATAAATAAACCTAATCACTTTCTAACATGAATTAATGTTCATAATATATAGAGTAAGGTCGGGAAGAAGAGAATGAATAATTTGTACTGTTGTATCTTTCAAAAACAGAACAAAAGAATGAAAAGAAAAGGAAAAAAATAAAGGGAACATTACCAATAGACTTTAATTATACGTTTAATGAATTATTATTATTCTTATTGAGACATGATTTAGCTTTACATTACTATAGTATTTATCAGTATTGGGCTGTAGAGATTATCAGGTTTTTGATTAAGATCATGAATCGATTGATGTTAGACCATCATTTAAAACATGAAAGCATTGGACGGCCATTTCGCCCTATTGTGGGACTCTTTAGAAGTGCACATCCACGATCCCGCTCGAGGGATTTATTTATCCGTTTTTTTAACAAAACAACAATCTTCTTTAAAACGTTTGGTATATTCTGTAAAAGTAGTTGAAGATGCCACAGATATTTGGAATTTGACAACGCTCTAACCACTAACACCTTCTATTATGAACCGTGCTCATCCAATGATATCAAAAGTCAGAAGCGAGTAGGTTCGAAGATATATTTGATTGGTGATCAATATATTGAGAAGCAACTGATATAAATTGGCTAACGATTGCAGGAGAAGTTGAGCACAGAGTTCCCACTCGTGATCTAGTGCGGATGCTTGACCGAGAGTCTTTAGCTAGGTGATTCCATTAAAACTAATGTGCTCAGCATCCGATATCGAAGACTTACAGAGTTATTGATTTTCGGGATTTATTTACCGCTATACAGTAACCTCATATAAACGGATTAGACTTTTTATTTCATACAAAATGATCAGTTGTTGTTATTGTTGACAGTATTTGTAAATAAAAATGTTTATTTCATTATATTTTTAGTAAGTTTCCATTTTGTATTTTCAATGTAGCGACTGCCTATTAACTAACTTCTTTTATGTAGCCTGATTACCTTATAGTCTTAAGTTAGTTGAAATCAATATAGAAATCAAATATTTTTATATTAAATTGTTGTAAGCAGTATTTCGTTTGACTGATCTATAATGTACTTCTTTTATTTTAATGTGGTTTTTCTTAGGATTAGTTCAGTTTAACTATTCTTTTCATAACAGTTTGATATCAACTATCAGGATCAAAGAACAATAAATAGCTGTCTCACCTTGAGAATCTTCAGCAGTGTACATCCTCTACCTTATACAGGATCTAACCTTGGAATTTATTACTTTCAGACTATTGAGTTGAGATCCAATGATCCAAATTTATCTACCGATGAAACAACAAATATCTTCAAATTAGATTGTTTAAATTAATATCTTCGAATATATGAAGTTTAAGGGATTGAAATTTCATGACTGGTTGTATAATCCTCAAAAATATGATTTACTAAGGTGTTTTTTAGACCGTTTTGCATCATTAAGAGACTACTAAGTCCTAGGATTTAAACTATTTATAACTATGACTGTAGGGAAATTTACAGGATGATCATTTTTTATCCATGTAATAACTTGTGAACCTGTGTGCCCTGTTTATTGTATAACGCAACGATACTGTCAATCAGAGAGCAGCGAATTATCGATCGAACCAGTGAGGCATAAAACACGTGCGAGCAGCCTAGAGTCGTGATTGGTCTCGCTTCCTTTCTAGCCCAGCCAGTTAAGTCCAGAACACCAATATCAGCCTCTGCAATATGAATCATTTATTTCAAACATACTCGGTTTATATATCAACCAGACAAACCGCAACGTACCATAAACTATGAAACAACATTTGTACAAGAATTAGCCAAATGTGGCTGTGAACGAGGGAGATAGTAATTAATAGACAGGCCATAACTCATGAATGGTAAATCGTATAATAATAGTCTATGGGTCAAATTAAAACGACATGAATATGAACAGTTTAGTTACATAATAATTATACGATAGAAATATACTCATAGTATTGGTCCATGGATGGATCTCAGAAGTTACCATTTATTACCCTTATCGGGATATAACAATGCACTTGTATAGATGTTAATAAATACTGTATATGTAACTAAAACTTCCTTTAAGACAAATCTTCTTGTAAATGTTTTTAAATTATAAAGAAATATAGTACAGATAATTATTGGACTCTATTTACTATTTAATTTGGAGGTGTAATAATTACTAAACAATATTGATCATTCATTCATTGAATTTCTATCTCTCAGAAAACAGATCTACAACTATTCTCACTTAATTAATCAAAATGTGAAAACGTCATCAATTTAAATGAGGTTTTCTTCAGGAAATGATATCAACGAAACAACCATTAAATTTATGAAGGACTAGGAATCTATTTCATCTTAGTTTGGGGTTCTAACTTCGTGCACAATTACTACCTCGTTCGGAATCGGACCCAGGACCTTAAGGTTCTAATTAGAGCAAAATACATGTATATTTCTTCCATTATTTACTTGTTATTCATTAGTTCAAATGTTTACTTTTTAAGTAATTTCAGATTACTTTATTTGTTTTTTATTTATTTCAGGTCAACGATACACCAGTAGATAATTTAACCTGTAGTGAGTGGTAAATCTTATTAGTCGTTCAGAAAAACGATTAGATTTACTAGTACAACGTCGTATCACAAAACATACACAACGAAGTAAACATTCAAATCAGAATGATTCAAATGATCTACCAAATAACTCTTTATTTACTGGATTACCAGGAGGGGTCAAATTAGGTGTGACATGCACACCTACAATGGATAATGAACATATTAACATTACAGCTCTTTAAATATATATATATATATATATATATATATATATATATATATATATATATATATATATATATATATATATATATATAGTACAATGTATCATTCCTCCTTCTGATATATTTGAAAATCTTCCTAAGAAATTTTACTTATTTAAGATATATGAGATAACTATGACTGAAGAAAGTTTAACCCGATGTAATTGTATTTTATTCTTATAATTGTATGTATATACTACTACTACTACTACTACTACTACTATACTACTAAATACTTGTTACTGTTATGATTTCTGTGAAACATCTTGTGATTGGTTTTTCTGAATATCACGATTTCTGCATACAATTCAAACTTATTTCATGTAGATGAAATATTTTAATTCAATGTAACTTCAACTTTGAAACGAATCATAGTTTGTTTAGTGTTTTCTTTTTTGTTTTTGTTTTTAGACTTATAATTTACGTTAAAAGAGTATGGCAATAACTTTGTTTGTTTTATTTTTAAATTAGAAATTCCTGTAACTTCATTTATTTTTCATTGTTATTGAATTAGTAAATTATCTATCTATTCATTAGAAAGTTGAAACATTAAACACAAATGCTTGTTGTACAAAAATCATCAATTAGATTTCTTTTAATCTGTTGTATTACATTAATTTACCTAAATACATTTACGTCCAGTAAAAGATAGATCATTTATGCATATATATATATATATATGAATACTTCATGCAGAATAAACAATAAAAAAAACTGGTTACCTAACTTATCCAAAAGCTTAGATATTTAGAAATAACTCATTGTTTTTTTCATTCTTTATGTTTTCTGCGAGCGTTTCCGTTTTTCTTTTCTTTTCTTTTTCATTTTGTCTCTGTCAATAATACACTTTGTCATTTGTTTTTATTCATTTCTGAGTTTGAAACCCAGTGATCCCTTTTTTTTAAGTGATTAGCTATGCCTTATCAACAATTAGTCATTTTTCTCTTCGAAAGTATGTTTATAGTCGTTCTTCTCATTACCCTCTATACATTATTGTATAGTATTGACATATTTACAATAACGAAAGTTCAAACGTAGTTTTTAGTGAGAAGCAAGTTTTTCTTATCATTTATGTGATTAATGTTAATGTTGTGAACAATTGATCCGAATGTAGGAAGCGTAATGTTTTACGCATATGTGTAATTGTTTTCTGTTATATGGGCTTTCTTAATTAGGAAACAGATTTCCATTTATAGGGTTTCGGTTCTTTACATTGTCCATATTTATAACCTGAGAGGATTACTAAGATATTATCATACAGTCACAATTTTTTATTCAGTTGGGAAGTGACTAGAAGTAGAATCTGAAATGCACGTTTCTTCCTATTTTCGACTGATCAGCTGGACGGAACCGAATTCAAAGTTTGATGTTCACATGTGGCTTGCAATCATGGTATTTCGTTCCAAACTTACAAACCGTTATTCATTGAGCCACCCGGGTTTAGATAGTGCGTCGAACATCGGAAGCAAAATATACTTGGTTCCTGTCCAGGTGTACACATGAAAACTGGAATTCTGTTACTTTCACTGAATGAGTCCTAAATAAGACAAAACGCTAGTTCTGGATCCCACTGCTAGCGACTACTCAACTTTACTAATATGCAAATTGTTTAGGGCTGAAAAATAATTACGACTGAATTTTGCTAACAAATAAAGATGTTAAGTCAAAATAATATTAAAAATACTAGGTCGCATGGTTGATATATATTCGGCTCGGAGGCAAAGTAGTCAGTCTTTTAAAAGCCTGTAAAACTAGCACACCAAAGGTGACCAGGAGGAGGAGATGCTGATTTGAAAGAAAGTTGTAATTGTTTGAAAGCAGGGTAGCGTTATGTCGCACTTCTATACTGGATAGTTAGGGCATGTAAAGCATTCTACATCAGGTCAATGAAAATATCTGACAGCATATTAGAATAACTGAAAAATTATTTCTTTTAGAGAAATATTTATTACCACAGCTTACCCCTATTTCTATAAGGGTTGCAAGAATCCTTACATCTAACAAGGTAGGATTATTAACAAAAAAAGGCTGGTCTTTGACAAACACGCTTTAAACAGACAGTTTCGTTGCCAGAATCTGAGCATTTGTCATATGATAAATCATAAATAAAAACTAGAAATAAATGAATTCTTCTGTTCCTTCCCACTATTCTCTACTTTTTGGTATCAGCCTGAAAAATAAAGAGGAAAAATGTCGCATTTCAAAAAGGTTTGTAATTAAGGAGGAGTGTTTCAGCTTCAAAAACCGTGCTAAAATACATGTAGGTACAAACATATATACATATGACAGAGATATTAATTGGTGTCAGATATCCACTATACGCACAAACGATTTTTAAAAATATATATCAGCTTGTTTAAAGTACTTATCTTTGTTTTTTTGGTCCATTTTTGTACACAATAAATATAGAAATGTAAGAAATATGTTGTAGAACATTAAAAACAGAGGGAAAATGAAGAAAAGGAACGAAATCGTCTTACGTGCAGTAATTATTTAGGCATTCTAGGAATCTGACGGCTTCGCTATATCTTGCTGAACTTGTCTTCTTTTTAAAAACCGGTTATGTCCTCTTGCGCTGGCTTTTCTTAATATTTCACTATGATTTCTTTGTTGGTTTTCCGTGTTGCAATGGGACGTACTAGAGTTACCCGAAATTTCCATTTGAAACTGGTTCCTATAGCTGAATAAACCAATACTAGTCTTGTTTCTTCAAATAAAAGTCCCTAAAGGAACATAAAGGGCCAATGGAACTGTGTGATGAACGACGTACAGTTATACAAACTGGTACTTAATTTTCTGTAATATGACAAACAAAATACAAGTCCACTTTGATGTAACTACTAAACTACTACACACAAACGTTTATGCATGCATTGTAGCAAGCGAACAACTAGGTAGCTAAAATCAGGCCCGGAACTCAAATAATAACAAGTAGGCGTTCATACAATCAGCCCAGAAAAACCAACATATCTCACAGGCATAAACGGTATACGACCAAATTAAGTTATAATACAGCATCTAAGATGGAGCTCCATCATATTATCTTTTGACCGATTTGTTGGAGTAAACGATGAAGGCTATTTCTTGGCATATATAGTCTATACCTCACTAACTTGATGAGCCAACACATCTTGGAAACGTTGGCGCTTTTTTTCTTCAATCGAAATCCAGTGTGTGGCGTTTTTTCGTGAGTTTTTTTCTGATGTTCGTTGGCTAGCAGTATTTGCAAACGAGTATAAAATGATTATAGTATGTAATACAGGGGCTCAAATAACCCTGGACTATTAAAGACTTCAGTAAGTAAGTCATTCTCAGCGAACGCTTCTTTGCATGTTAGCTTTAAAGTAATATGTGGTGTCATCAGTTCATCGGACAGTATCTGGTACACACATGCTGATCTTCCGTTTGATGAAAACGTAATTAAATTTACCTGCGTCTTTTACTCGTACCAATATTTGTTTTTACTAACATAAGGCAATAACAATCTGGAATTCAGATCTTATCACAACGTTATACCTACATCTATCAATCCCAGTGATCAATTTAATAACAGTGATCACAGCAGTATCGTATATATATTGTAATAACTATTAAGTAAAAGTAATCTGATGGCAGATAACGAAAAAAGTAAGTGATAAGTTGATTTGAAGATATCATGAGACGACATCAGCTGGGAGAGAGAAACGAAAATGGGGGACGATTTGCAAACCTATGTGCAGTATTCCCACACAAAGGCGTACACAAAGTTACGTGGGTTTCACCGGATCACACCACATAGAACTAGATAGATCATCTTTGAATCAATAAAAAATTCAGAAGGACAGTGGAAGATGTGAGAACCAGGAGAGGAGCTGACATTGCTTCAGATCACCACCTGATTGTGGCCAACATGAAACTGAAACTAAAGAAACACTGAACAACTGAGGAAACAGCATTACGAAGGTTCGATACAGCCTTCCTTCTATATACCAACAAACTCAAGGAATTCAAGACAGCTTTCAACAACAAGTTTCAAGCCTTACAGGATCTATTCAGTGAAGAAGAAACTACCATGGAGGTCCACTGGAAAGGGATCGAAGAAACATTAACGTTGTAGGTCCAGCGAAATGTCACTGGCCCTAGTAAAATCTTCCGGAATTCGGGTCAGTGAATATCGAACAGATCATGGGTCCACGTCAAGGTCATGGACTGGTACATGTGGTGGTAGTCTCGCTATCTTCCCTGTACTCATTTTAATAATATATTTCCGTAGTGACGCCCTTGTGTTAAATGGTCTTCGGAGTAGCCATAGTACTTTGATACGTCGAAGGGGTAATCCACATGAGATGCTAACTGAGAGGTATGACTTCGAAATTAATTGGTTCGTCACATCATTCCTGTCCAACTCGAATAGGCCTCCAATCATTCGATATATATCATCTACGTTGGTGATCTACAACGTCAAGTGTTAGGAGGTGCTGGGCGGCAACAGGCATCAGGATAAAGAATAGAGCTCTATAGAAACCCTGAACGAGATTCAAGAAAAAAAACAAAAAGGCAGCAATTGACAACAGCCGAATAAGTGCAGAGAAAGTCAAGGCACAAGGTGAACACGTAGCAGCAAACAAGCAATGAAGAAGAGCATTAGAGCCGGAAGCAGAAATACATGGAAGAGCAAGCAGTGACAGCGGAAAAAGCGGCAACAGAGGGAAGTATGCGACAGCTATATGACGCAATGAAAAAACTAGCAGGGAAATATAGTAAACCAGAGATACCGGTCAAGGACAAGGAGGGCAAGAAAATCTCCGGGCTTCAAGAACAGAGGAATAGGTGAGTAAAATACTTCGAGGAACTCTTGAATAAACCAGCTCCATTGGATCCACCGGACATCGAAGCAGCACTCACGAACCTTCCCACAGATGTCACTTTACCAACGATTGAAGAAATCAGGATGGCCATCAGACAAATCAAAAATTGGAAAGCAGCAGGACCTCACAATG